TGCCATAGTATTAAATTCTGTTAACCAATTTATTCCTTCCCATTAAAATGTTGAGCATATGTTGCTACATATTTAGGCAGAAGGTGCAAAAGCTGCAAGTGGTAGCTTCTTTCTCAATAACCATCAATCGGTTTCATATTTCTTTGTCTTTATGCTTGTAATACAGAAAAAAAGATTTTTTCTGTTAATTAAGCTTTCAGTAGGCTTGATGAAAATATGCACGCTATATTTGCAGACTTTTCTTTTTTGGTACATTGGAAAAAAAATCAGGTGCATGTCTTATTCAGAAGCGTGTGGTATTCGTGAACATACAGTAATATTTAAATTCACGGAGAAAATCAAAATCGTTACAAAAATGTGTAAACACCCTCTGTATAATCAACAAAAAGACAATGTGCCATAAATATGATTTTCTAAGTATGCATTTCACTTTCAAACATCTTTTGGCTATGGATCGACACCATAGCCAAGAACAAGGTACTGACTGGTGTTGTCTTTGAATGTTCGCGAGGATGATACTTTACGCTCTTGAATGGTTGTGCGTGACGCTGCTACACATTTTGCAGCCCAGTGCAGTCTTTTTTTCTTCTAAATGCTATTGCCTGGTACATCCCTAAATTCTAAAAAAATTTCCATGCCAAAATTCTTCTGTCGAGTGCTTCACCTAAAATTCTAAAAATCTTGGATTTTTGCTGCTGGGTGCTCCTCTAAATTCTAACATTTTTGCCACTCCTAAATTCTGCACCTGGTGTGGGGTATGTCTGAATTTCATCTCATTAGATTTAAGCCAATGATCTAAAATCCACAATCACTGATGTCCTGACAATTCTGGATCTTGGATTTTGTACTGTATATACAGTCTTTCCACAGCCAGAGTACTTTTGAGCAAATGCAAAATGAGCACTACCAAAAAGAAGGTCTGAAATCATACAGAATTTTCTCTTTGATAATTTTGTTCAACAAGTCTCTACATAAATAACCAATGATACAATCCATTTACAGATCATGACTGACCAAAACTTTCAAGTATTATAAACATGCCGCAAAACAAATAATTAAAAAAGAATATCGGTTTTATAAGGGATGGGGTATGGGAATCTACACAAGACACAGCAATAAGACACAACGAAAAAATAAACAGCAAAAATGTTCTGTTTAAAATAAATCCAAGGTCAACCACACAATTTTACATTTATTTCTATGTGAGACACAATTTATAACCTTTGGCATTTATAAATAGATGACTAAGCGAGGTTTGTTCATAAGCAAGCTTGAATTCGGCAATTTTAAAATTAGTACTAAATAAATAAATGTGAATACATGCTGCTCAGCACTTTCCACAAACTTGTTAAGACAGTTAAACTGCAGAAAATGAATGTGTAAGTCAAGCTTACACACTCATTTTTGAATCAAAAAATAATCAGATTTCAATTGCCTTACAAAGGGATTATTACAGCTGGATTTTCTCAGGGTGGACATTTTAAGGAATTATTTTAAAAGCATTTAACAGCTTTCATATTAGGAAACAACTATAATAAAAACTTTACACTTTGTAAAAAAAAGAAGAAGAAATTAAAATGTTTATAAACTAATTCAGAAGTCAAACAACAAATATCAGTCTTATATTTTCAAAAATTTTTCACAGGACTGGTTTTGATGGTTTTGCCGAACCACCATCCTCAGCTGCAAAACCGCAAATTTATTCATTTGATTTGTTCATTTGCGGTTTTGCACCTGAGGATGGTGGTTCGGCAAAACCATCAAAACCAGTCCTGCGAAAAATTTTGAAAATATAATGCTGATTTTAGTTGTTTGACTTCTGAATTAATATTTATTCAGCGTGTTATTGGGTCTTGCTTATAAACTTCAAAATTTTTTAAACAGCATAACAATTTTGTATGATAAATGACAATAATGTACAAAAAATACGCGACCAAGCAAGATACAAATTTGCAATTAATAACTATGCACTTCCTAAAATATGCAGCAGTTAGAGGATAAAAATGAAAAACCAGCACTTAAAGTGTAATACTTTATTAATACACTACAGGCTTGATTTTAGAGAGCAATACTATGGGAAATGGCCAATATGAGTTACAAATAAACATTAAATGTATTTTTAGTTATAGTAGCTTATAAAAGTGACTATTTTACTTTATGGCAGTAGATGAGAAAAATGCTTTCCCACTCTGTTTTCTCTGTTGCATTTCTAGCGTTCTGAAACTAAGCAATTTAACACTATATAGAAAAATGTTTTCCTCCTCTGTTTTCTAGCAATTCTAGCATTTTTTAACTAAGCAAGTTCAACAGTATCTAGAACAGTGTTCCCAGAGACTTCCACAATATTGGGGGTCTACCTGTGGGGGTGGGAGGGGCAGTGAAATGAAGTTGTAGCTGGATAATACACGTTTATTGCATAACTTTACACTCCTGTATAATTCTTACCACCCTAACATTACCTTTTGATAGCTTAGTCTTAACTCACTGCCTACGCTGATTAAAATAAAACTTTTCACTTATCTAGGTATATAGAGAAAAGCCTGCATAATGTGGTCCTTGATGCATCAGGAAAGACCTGCTATCTCTCTAACAGATACATAAGCCATAAGCCAATAAATACAAATAGTAGGCTTTCTTTCGCACTCTGACATATCTTGCATGAACATACACAATTCACAATGTTTAAAATCAGTATTTCTCATACTAGTGAAAAACCGAAACTCACTGCTCCTGTTGCTAAAATCCAATGCTTGAAATTAAGAGCGTACATTCACCAAATATTTCAGCTTTACATTCAAAACCCTCTAATTTATAATTATATAACTCAGAAAGTATCCCAAGATGCATCATAGGAAGTACACCAATAGTTCATCTTTGCAAGGGAAAAGGCAATTCAAACATCCATGCTCTACTTGGGATTTTTCTATTTAAGTCAGTCCAGTAAACAGTCTCTGCTAAAGGTCAAAACAACAGCATAAATAATAAGCTTTAAAAACTGAGATTTAAGCTACGTATGAATAAACTAGTATAGAGAAGGAAAATTTATTTAGAGGATGGTATGATTTCTTTTGGTCAATCAACAAATACAACCAAAAAGCTAAAATCCAAAAAACAGCTTTTTAATTATTATTTTTTTTAAATCAGAGAAATTTTATGAATTTGTAGAAATAAAAAGAATGAATGAACAGCAATGAGCTATTTTAGAGAAATTAACAATCTTTTAAATAGTATCTAAATGAGTTTTGGAATAACATAAAACATTTCTGATACAGCAATTTTTGAAGTTTTAAGGGCTAAATAAACACACTAGTATAGAGGTAAGTACATTCATTATTTGAATGATTACAAAATGTATCAGCCATTAATCTTTTCCATAATATCATTTGGCCCGCTATTTTTCTCATAATGGACTTGATAAAAATATAGTCAGGAATAATTCAAATGCTACAACAAAAGAAAAATCTCACAAACCTCAGTTTTAAACAGAAACTTCTTTTTTAACTGTAATGGTTTGATAAATCAGGCCATAAAACCACATTGAGGCAGCTAACATCAAAGTGTAATATGCTGCCAAAATTCACAAGAGACCAATTGTTAATGTTTCATAAGTGCTGCAGTAATGTCAATAATAATCCTTTGAAGTAGGATTCTCATGCAGTTATAATAAAGGGAAGCTGAATAAAATTTCTCTCCATTTCTCTTACAGCACAGTGAATGGATGACGACCAATATTTTATATGGTATTTTATATAGTTTATATGGTATCTGGCAGACAGCTGTTCTAGCATATCAAAAACATGTTTCCGAGAATTTATGTGATGGCTATATTGTATTGTCATTTGCAATTTGACATTTTTTAAAAAAAAAAATAAGACTTAGTTGCATGAAACAGGTTTATACAAAGAGAAAGCAGCAGATTAAACTGTCCAGTAGCAAGCAAGAAATTCTGAATACTGATACCGGCAAAGTGTTTCATTTCTGAACTCACAAAACTGAAAGCAAACACAAGACGCTATCACACTGAGCAGATAAATACAGAAAATGACGAATAACTACAACTGCTCATAATAATAAAAACTCTTAAGACAAAACAAAGAGTAACACAAAATTCTATGTGTATGGTATGTTGTTCTGTTTAGAATTAATGCTGAATCATCATCAGCAGTAGCAGCATTTATCCTTAAACAGTTCTCTCTATATAATCAATATCTTTGCATCCTTTTCAACTTCATAATAAAAATGATTACCTACAAGTAAATAGTATTTAAAGTCCGAAATCCGGATGTTCAATAGCTGAACCTCAGGACTAGTAGCCAAAAATAAGTAAGTAAATAAAATAATTAAAAAAATTACCCTTTCCCCTTAAAAATCTACAAACAGAAAATACAATACTCAACAATAGGAAGCAGGTATGACACAAATGCAGTTTTTTCCTCACTCAGAATCCTGCATGTCACTTTCAAAAACCTGCTGGCTAAGAAGTTACACTGCTGTCAATAACATAACATTGATTGACATTGGTATTTGGCGGGTTCACACTTTCAGTATTTGGCAGGTTCACACTTTCAGCCCTTCAGTGGCTGTGGAGGGCAGAGACAGTGCTACATATTTTGCCAACTGGTGCAATATCTGAGGGTCCTAAATTCTGCTACCCAATGCCTCTCCTAAATTCTAAAAATTTTGCCATCTCTAATTTTTGCTGCGCAGTGCTTCTCAAAATTCTACAATTTGGGTCACTCTGGCATTGTTGGGTGGTTAGCATTCTTCTACATGAGCTAAACAATTACCAAAGCCGCAACACAGACTTGTCCTTACATCACCTTACTAGGTTTAAACTAATGATCTAAATCCCAGAAATTTAGAAATCCAGTATGTGACTTGACAATTCCGGATCTCGGACTTTGTATCATATATACTATAATAAAAATATAGCAGACTTACTAAATGATTGCACTAAATACACAGAAATGTATTTTTATATATTTTGCTTTAAAGCTTACCACTAGCAAATTCATCAGCTGTTTTCCAAGGAATGTACTGCAGAGAAAGGAACTGTATAGCTAACTGATCTGGAGGCCATTTTTCTAAAAAGCTTACAGGAATAATAAGTTTTTCCTTATCATCAGCGAGCTTTGCCTTTATAAGACAAAAATAATTAAAAAGATAAGAAACAATAAAATTACTTTAGAGATAAATGACACATTAATACATAATTAATCACTTAACAGTTTTGCCCGCCAGTCATATCGGCAACCATTTTTTGCACAGCCGGATTTCCCCGTACATGGTACAGGTACCTAACTTCCTAAGTTTCAGTTTTTGACTATCCCATTTTTATTTATTTCAGATTACTTTTTCTGTTTCTAGATGGCATTACCTGACCGTAAGAACAAGTTTGTACGGTCTTTTTTCTTTCTTTTTTTTTGGGGGGGGGTACTGAGGTCATAGTGACCATATGCTTTCTTTCAGATATATTGCATCGAATTTCGCGTAGTTAAGTTTTATTACAGATTAATTTTATAATCGTATTAAAAGCATATAAAATAATTTTAAAGTTATATTATTATAATTTGCATGTTTTAATTTTCGTTCGTTTCTTATTTTAAAATAAACCAAAAAATATCCTCCCAGTATCAGTCCTTGTTTCCTTATCGAGATGAGCTATTAAGTTATAGCTAAATTTTCGAGAAGTAAGAGTAATTTCAAGAAGTATAATAAGATGAAGTATAAAGCTATGTAAAATGATTATTACTACAGACATGTGATAAAAAAGTCAATATTATAGGAGTATTTTATGTAAAATAAACTTATTACATGTGTGCAAAAAGCCAATATTACAGGGGTAATTGTAATTTTTATCTCTGTCTCTCTCTCTGTATATATATATAAACTTCATATTTTACATATAAATGATTTTTTGCCCATAATTAATCTAAAAATACAATTTTCTTTCAAATTCTGTAATAAAAACAAAAGTTATCTTTTAAACATATCAACAAACTCAGCGATTTAAAAGCAATGTATTACAGTACAAAGTCCGTAATCCGGACGTCCATTATCCAGAATGATCTATAATCCGGACCTCAAAGCCACAAACTTTTTTTTTGTATGCTTTACACATGTGCATTTAATGTATAACGGGCGGCATAAGCTAGGCTAAAAATTACCTTTACTGATTCTAAGGCATTTCAGTTTATGTTGCAGATTGCGCTGTTCCTTAATCTTCTAATTAGATCCAGCTTATTATTTTTTGCAGACTGTTAGAGCAATTTCACAAAAATTAAGCTTGAAATTTCGATTATGTCAAAAAGAGTTTCCAATTCTGGAGCTGCCAAAGGATCTACTAAGCGAAAACATGTTTCGATGTCCATCAAACAAAAAGTGGAATTGTTGCAAAAAATGGATAAAGGCATATCCGTTTCAAAATTATGTGAGGAGTTTGACATTGGAAAGTCAATTGTATACGACATAAGCAAAAAGAAAAGGAACATTTTGAACTTTTTGTGGATTCTGACACCACACTTGCAACGAATAATGGAAAAAAGTTAGTTATGCTAAAAGTGGCGATCATGACAAAGTGACGATTGAATGGGTCAGACAGCATCCCAGCGAGGGCATACCATTGACAGGTCCAATGCTAATGGCTCCTGCTAAAATATTTCATGAAGAAATGAACTTAAACCACTGAGTGCACATATTCGACAGGTTGGTTAACCAAATTTAAAAATTGCCATGGTATAAGACAATTAAAAATTTCAGGTAAAAAACCTTCAGCTGATACTGAAGCTTCTGAACAATTTGCAGATGAATTCATTGAACTCATTATTAGTGAACAATTATCTCCAGAACAAATTTACAACGCTGATGAAACTGTTTTTTTTTTTTTGGCAATATGTACTGCGAAATACCTTGGCAACCTCTACAGAAAAGGCTCACTGGTGTCAAAGATTCCAAAGCAAGACTAACAATTTTAGCAGGTGCAAATGCTGCAGGAAGGCACAAGTGCAACCTTTTCATACTCAGAAAACATGCACGACCTCCAGCATTTAAAGGAGTAACGATTTTCCCCATTATATATCGTGCAAATAAAAGAGCATGGATGACACAAGCGTTGATGAATGACTGGTTTGAAAATCATTTTATACCCGAGGCTCGGCGACATTTGAATTCGGTTGTTTACCTGATGACTCAAAAATAGTCCTGATTGTTGACAACTGTTTGGCACATACTTCACTTAAAGTTTTAGTGAAAGATAATGTATCCGTATTATTCTTTCCTCAAAATTGTACGTCTATCATTGAGCCTATGGACATGGGAATAATGCACGCGCTAAAATGCAAATATAAAGTAGCATTTTTAAAATCTGTGTTAAATTTCTTGAAGAATGGCAACATTATTTAAGACTTTTTGAAATTTTTTAGCATAAAATGTGCTGTGTGGAGCATCGCAAGATCGTGGGAGGATGAGTCTCCAGATACGTTAAAAAATGCTTCGCATAATTTATGGCCAGCTACCATATTTCATGGTGAGGACAATGAAGATGATAGCCATGAATTTGAAGGTTTTCGGACATCACAAACTAAAGATGAAATTTTCCAGTTATTGGATTTTGTAAAGAAATGTGGAGAAACGGTAATAAATGAAGATGATATAACAGAAGTTTTTCATTGCGACGACAATGTCCCTATCATCAATCAATTAATGGACGGCGAAATCTGTAGTATGGTTCTAGATCCAGAAAATACCACTTCCGATAGTGAAGAAAGTGACAAAGACATTATTGAAAACGAAAACATTTTGATTGACAAGTTAGTTGGTATTCTCGACACAGCAATTACAGGACATGAACCGTGGAACTTTAACTGAACAAGAAATTATGTCTGTTTATAGAATTAAAGAGAAAGTATTAGCACAAAAAACGAAGCAACTTAAAAAACTTACATTGAAAGAAATGTTTAATAAAGTAAACAAATAAATATTAAGCTTTATTTTTTAAAATTTTGATACCCTTTAGATCATAATTGCTCTTTATTTCATAAATTATGGTTTCATATTTTTAATTGTATAATTTCTGCATGCCATCTAACCAGATTTAAATTGATGATCTATAATACGGAAAAACCCCTAATCGGGAATCACCGAAGCCCTGACGAGTCCGGATTACGGATTTTGTACTGTACTACTGTTGGAAACAAAATGCTTTTATGTGCTGCCATTCGTCAAAGCATAAAATACTTATCTTCCATATTTACCTTTCAGCTACTGATTAACAAACTAAGTGATTTAAAAGAAATAAACACAGTTCTTGATAATAGTTTATGTTTTCATATGATTGGTTTAAACTAAAATGCATTTAATTAACAATATACCTAATTAACAATTTTTATTGACACCTTTTTTAATTTATCAAAGACTTTTATGATGCAGATTTTTTTAATAGCCTTTCAAATTTTTTGAAAAAGTAAATCTTCCAGTATTAAGACATTATATACAATTCAGTTATCTTGTTTAGCTGATCTTATGATAATAATTTGACCAGAATTTCTTCAGTAGTTACTATGTTTAGTCTGTCCAGCCTATTCTGTATCTTATGACAGTATCATATTAAGGTTCATTCATGATTCTCTGAGGAAGATTCCCAAGGCTTCATTGCATAGTTAGAAAGAACAAAGGAATTTTACTACAGAAATAATACATTTGATGATTGTTACAGAATGACCACAGCAATCCTTATCATTAAATTCTTTAATAAAACAAAAATTAAAATGTTACAGCTGATATTTGAGCTACAATATATGCTGAAAAATATAATAAAATTAAAATAAATCTATCTGAGAATATCTGAAGGGGGAAAAAATTAGCTGTTCTTTATTTCTTACACTGCATTTAATTGTGAAATTAAAAATGCTTTTGTGCACTGGAAAATAAAACGCTTTACAATATTTTTCTTCATTTTAGGCTTTTTGTAGCATAATTAAAAGTAGACGTCAAATTAAAGAAACTGTACAATGAAGAGTCCAAAGTCCAAAGGAAAAAGGAGGAGGCAAAAAGGCCTATGAGGAAGGATGTAGAAAAGAGGAGCTTTCAAAAGACCAAAGTCGATTAATAAAGGTGGAAAGCCAAGGGCAACCCAAGCAACAACCATCTAATGAACTGCCCAAGGAAAATGCCAAAGCAAATTAGACAGGAAGGAGTGCACCAGAAATCTCAGAAGCCAGGATGTCAGAAGATAGAAATCAACAACTCCAGCAAGGAAAGGCCAATGCATCCTGAACATGAAGAACTGTATCAGCAACCAAAGAGACCCCACAAGCATGGAGGTCAGAAATTAACAACTCCAACAAGAAATTCCAGAGGAAGACGATACAGAAGAGCAGCATAAATCCAAGAGTTAGAGAACAGATAGGGAAGCAAAAACGAACATTAGATAATAAGACATCAGATTCTGATCACCAGCCAAGCAAAAGTCAACATTAGACAAATGAAAATTAGATTCCGACCACCAGTGAAACAAAAGTCAATAGCTTAAACTAGAGCATTTGGAATGAGCACCTGAACAAAAGACATATTTATATTTAGCTGGAATTTTAGGTTACATTTAAATTTGTACAAAAGTTGCTACTATGTTTCACCTCAAGTAAACATTTCTAAGTTGTTAATTAAACCTGGAAAGCTTTTGTTTAGTAACTGTTTGTGTTTTGTAAAACTGGTTTTGTGTGTTAACACTCTTATGTTTGCTTAGTTAAAAGACAGTTAATAACCAGAAGACTTTGGCTTAGGGTCATAAATAATAGCAATTAATATATAGTGGATGGACAAAAATATGGAAACACCTGGTGAAATGCATGTTTGAAAAGAAAGATTGATTTTAATGAAATATGTAGGTGGCGCTAGCATTTTTGACTACTGACGCCACCTATACAACTTCGTAAATGTGGTAAACAGTTCAGTTGTTGTCGGAGTACTGTTATGTGAGGTTGTCATTGCATTATGTCAGAGTTAAGAGACTTCGAACGTGGGCAAATTGTTAGAGCACGTATGGTAGGTGCTTCCGTAAGCAAGGTAGCCGAGGTATTTAGTGTTTCAAGAGGTACCGTATCGAAGATTTATTCCGCATATTTGAAAAGCGGAAAAAC